CGTTCTGTTGTGCATAGGGTCGCTATGAGTTGGAACTGATTTGACACACCTAACAACAACAACACTTTGTTTGAATCCTTCTACTAGTTCCAGTAGCTTTATTGTGGAATCTTTGGGATTTTCTATGTATAGGATCATATCATCTGCAAATAGGGATAGTTTTTACTTCATTCTTACCGATATGAATGCCCTTTACTTCCTTTTCTTTCCTTATTGCTCTAGCTAGGAATTCCAGTACAATGTTGAATAAGAGTGGTGATAAAGGGAATCCTTGTCTGCTCCCGTTCTAATGGGTAATGCTTTCAGTCTCTATCCATTGAAAAGAATGTTGGCTGTTGGTGTTGTATAAATGCCCTTTATCATCTTGAGGAATTTCCCTTCTATTCCTGTTTTGCTGAGAGTTTTTATGGGGAATGGGTGTTGGACTTTATCAAATGCCTTTTCTGCGTCAATTGAGATGATCATGTGATCCTATATTTTTATTTATTTGGTAGATTACATTGATTGGCTTTTTAATGTTGAGCCATCCTTGCATACCTGGTATGAATCCCACTTTCTCATGATGTATTATTTTTTTTAATATGCCGTTAAAGTCTACTGGCTATAATTTTTTTGAGAATTTTTGTGTCTATATTCATGAGGAGGCATCAAAAGAAGATGGAAGGAATACACAGAGTCATTATACCAAAAAGAATTGGTTGATGTTCAAGAGGTAGCATATGATCAGGAACCGATGGTATTGAAAGAAGAAGTCCAAGCTGCACTGAAGTCACTGGCGAAAAACAAGGCTCCAGGAATTGATGGAATATCAACTGAGATGTTTCAACAAACGGCTGCAGCACTGAAAGTGCTCACTTGCCTATGCGAAGAAATTTCGAAGACAGCTACCTGGCCAACCAACTGGAAGAGATCCATATTATGCCTATTCTCAAGAAGGGTGATCCAACCAAACCCAGAAATTCTTGAACAATATCATTAATATCACCTGCAAGTAAAATTTTGCTGAAGATCATTCAAAAGTGGCTACAGCAGTATATTGACAGGTACTGCCAGAAATTCAAGCTGGATTCAGAAGAGGACGTGGAATAAGGGATATCATTGCTGATGTCAGATGGATCCTGGCTGAAAGCAGAGAATACCAGAAAAATGTTTATCTGTGTTTTATTGACTATGCAGAGACATTCGACTGTGTGGATCATAACTAATTATGGATAACATTGTGCTCATGAGGAACCTGTGCATAGATCAAGAGGCAGTTGTTTGAACAGAACAAGGGGATACTGCATGGTTTAAAGTCAGGAAAGGTGTGTGTCAGGGTTGTATCCTTTCACCATACCTATTGTGCCTGATCCAAGCCATGGTATTTTCAATTGCATCATATACATGGGAAAGCTGGACAATGAATAAGGAAGATGGAAGAAGAATTGACGCCTTTGAATTGTGGTGTTGGTGAAGAATATTGACTGCCAAGTATGGAGTGCCAAAAGATTGAACAAATCTGTCTTGGAAGAAGTACAACCAGAATGCCCCTTAGAAGCAAGGATGGCGAGACTTCATCTCACATATACTTTAGACATGTTTTCAGGAGGGATCAGTCCCTGGAGAAGGACATCATGCTTGGTAAATTAGAGGGTCAGCGAAAAAGAGAAAGACCCTCAACAAGATGGACTGACATGGTGGCTGCAACAATGGGCTCAAGCATAACAATGATTGTGAGGGTGGCACAGGACCGGGCAGTGTTTCATTCTGTCGTACATAGGGTCGCTATGAGTTGGAACCGACTCGACGTCACCTAACAACCACAACATTCACGAGGGATATTTGTCTATAATTTTCTTTTCTTATGGTATCTTTGCCTGGCTTTGGTATCAGGGTTACGCTGGCTTCATATAATGAATTCAGGACTGTTCCTTCCTTTTCTCTGCTCTGAAATGGTTTGAACAGTATTGGTGTGAGCTCTTCTGTGAATGTTTGGTAGAATTCTCCAGTGAAGCCTTTTGGGCAAGGGCTTTCTTCTCATTGGGAGTCTTTTTTTTTTTTTTTTTTAATTATCTCTTTAATCTCTTGCTTTGTTGTGTGTCTGTGCAGTTTTTCTACCTCAAAATAAAACAAAAAACAAAACCCATTGCTGTCAAGTTGATTCTGACTCATAGTGACCCTATAGGACAGAGTAGAAGTGCCCCATAGGGTTTTCAAGGAGTGCCTGGTGGATTTGAACTGCTGAACTTTTGGTTAACAGCCAAACTCTTAACCACTGTGCCACCAGGGCTTCTTTTCTACCTCAGTTTGTGTTAATCTAGGTAGGTAGTGTGTTACTAGAAATTTGTCCTTTTCTTCATGGTTTTCAAATTTGTTGGAGTACAATTTTTCATAGTATTCTGTTATGATCCTTTTTATTTCAGTATTTCCTGTTATAATGTCACCATCTCATTTCTTATTTGAGTTATTTGCTGCTTCTCCTGCTTTTCTTTTGTCAGTTTGGCCATTGATTTGTCAATTTTATTGATCCTTTCAAAGAACCAACTTCTGGTCTTATTGATTCTTTCTGTTGTTTTTCTGTTGTCTGTTTCATTTATTTCTGCTCTAATCTTTATTATTTCTTATCTTTGATGACTTTGGGCTTCTTTTGTTGCTCTCTTTCTACTTGTTCAAGTTCTAGGGTTAATGTTTTGATTTTAACCCTTTCTTCTTTTTTGTTGTGTGTGTTTATTACTATAAATTGGCCTCTGAGCACCACTTTTGCTGTGTCCCAAAGGTTTTGGTACGTTGTGTTTTCATTCTCATTTGATTTTAGGAATTTTTTAAATTTCATCTTTGATTTCTCCTATTACGCAGTGGCTTTTAAGCAAGGTTTCATTCAGTTTCCATGTATTTGATTTTTTTTCCTTGCTCTTCCTGTTGTTGATTTCTACTTTTATAGTATTGTGATCAGAGAAAATGCTTTGTATTATTCCAGTGTTTTGGATTTTATTGAGACTTACTTTGTGGCCTAAGATGTGATCTATTCTGGAGAATGATCCATGTGCATTAGAAAAGAATGTATACTGCTGTTGGATGGAGTGTTCTGTGTGTGTGTATGAGGTTGAGTTGGTTGATTATGGCATTTAGATCTTCTGTATCTTTGTTGAGTTTCTTTCTGGTTGTTCTGTCCTTCACTGAAAGCAGTGTGTTGAAGTCTCCTGTTGGTACTGCGGAACTGTCTATTTCTCTTTTCAATGCTGTTAGAGTTTGTTTGATGTATTTTGGAGCCCTGTCATTGGGTCCATATATAAGTATTATGGTTATGTCTTTTTGGTGGATTGACCCTTTAATCATTATATAATGTCCTTTATCTTTTATGGTGGATTTTTCCTTCAAGTCTATTTTTTCAGAAATTAACATTGCCATTCCTGCTCTTTTTTTTTGGTTACTGTTTGCTTGATATATTTTCTTCCATCCTTTGAGTTTTAGTTTATTTATGTCTTTGTGTCTAAGGTATGTCTCTTGTAGACAGCATACTGATGAGTCTTTTTTTTTTTAATCCATTCTGCCACTATCTGTCTCTTTACTGGTACATTTGATTCATTTACATTCAGTGTGATTATTGATAGGTATGAGTTTACTGCTATCATTTTGTTGCACTTTTTTTTTTGGTAGCATTGAAGGTTTCTTTGTTCCACTCAATTTTCTGTGCTGGGTTCTTTTTGTCTGTGGATTTTCTTTTCATTTCTTTCATTACTGATTTTGTGTTTACTAGTCTTTTTTTTTTTTTTTCTTCTTTTTTATTTTGATGAGTAGGTTTGTTACCTTTCCTTGTGGTTGCTTTGAAATTTACCTTTATCTTCCTAAGTTTCAAGCAGGTTTTTACTTCTTTATATTGCCTGGACTTCCTCTCCATATGAAAGTTCTATAACTATACCATTTATTCCCCCTTTTTGTTTTGACGTCCTCATTTACAGATTGACATCTCTGGTTCTGTATTTTTAGTCTTTAGCTTTGTTTTCTTTTTTTTTCTTTTTTTTTTGTGGAGCTGGTGAGGATGTAACTGGCATTGCTGGTGAGGTGATGTGCCACTGTTTTTGTACAGCCTTTCCTTCCACTTGGCTCTCGGTTTGATTCTTCAGCCTTGGCTTTGATGCTCGGGGTTCCAAAATTGTCATCTATATCTGATACACTTGTTTTCTTGGGTCTTTAAGAGGGACTTTATGAGGCATCTGACTATGCCACATTCTCGGACTGCCTCTGGAAGGTGTTTTTGCCTTTTGTGATTCCTCTTATGAAGAATTTTAGCTTTATGACTCATTTTCTTACTAAAGGAGATCTGTGCAGAGGTCCCACTTCTTCTGGAAACTTGAAGGAATTCAGGGTAATACTCAGTTCTTATTAGTTTGCTCTTGGTGATCAACCAAATCTCTTCCAAGAACCAAGGTACATGTTCTTAGGATACACCTGTCTTGCAGGACATAGTCACATACGCACTGTGTGTTAGGTCCTAGAATTTTAAAATTATTTTTTCCTGTTATAAAATAATAGATATTCACCATACAGATTTTAAAATACAAAAAGTAGTAATGTAAAGAGAAATATAAAACTCATATGGCATACTACCAGCTAAAGATACTGTTAACACTTTGCTATCTGTACTTCTAAGCTTTTGTCTGTGTAAACCTGTGTATCCACAGAAGCTATGCATACCTGTAGATTAAGACAGACACAGGTTCCTTAACAAGACATCGTGCTGTACAACACTGCTCTGTGACCTACCTTCCTATGGCACTCAACTTCTAGAACATGATTTTTACAGCCTGCATACTATAGCATTGCATGAATGTTCCATCATTTATTTAACCTCAATTCCTTATTGTCATTTAGAAGACAAGCATAATTCAAAAAAAATCTTTTTCATAATGAAGGAAATGGATTTTTTTAGAATTACAAGTGTTGTTTTGTATTGGGATGGGATTTAGAGCTTAGACTTCCCTTCTGACATTCTTTGGTACTTTGCTATACTTTTCTCATAGGAACACCCCATGTTTCTGGTGGGAAGATGCTCACCACTCTCGAGTCCACCATGCCGCCTAGCCAGTCCCTGCCTGCGGGTTCTTCGACTGTCCACATGAGCCTGCTTGACATGAGGCGAAATGTGGCCGAACTCAGGCTCCAGCTCCAGCAGATGCGACAGCTCCAGGTCAGATGATGTTGCTCATGCATGGTGATCTCTGTCTCAGTTGCCCAAAGTCAGCTCTCCCCTCCTCCCATTCTCCTCTGCACACATCCCTAGCCCCACTGCAACTTTCCATTTGGAAATTGTGCTTCTTCATTGGACCCTCACAGGAAAATTAAATGTACAATTTGAATTTGGTGTTATTATTTTCTTAGGGTTGCAGGTAACAAAGTACCACATAATGGGTGGCTTAAAACAATAAAAATTTATCTTGTCACAGTTCTAGAGGCCGGAAGCATGAATTCAAGGTGTGAGTAGGGCCACATTCTCTCTGAAGGCTCTAGGGGAAGATCCTTCCTTGCTTCTTCAGCTTCTGATGGTTCCCAGCAGTCCTTGGCGTTTGCTGGCTTGTAGCTGCATCACTCCTATCTCTGTCTCCATCTTCACATGGCAGTGTTCCCTGTGTGTCTCTTCTCTTCTTTTTACAAGGACACCATTCCTATTAGATTAGGATCTACCCTACTCCAGTATGATCCCATGTTAACTGATAGCATCTTCAGAGACTATTTACAAACAAAGTCACATTCACAGGAACCAGGGGTTAGGACTTTTACATACTTTTTTGGGGAACATACCTCAATCCATAACAAAAGGTAGTATCTAACTGCTCTAAAAAATGAGCCTGCATCAGTTAGGGGACAGGGGTGACTTGCTTTAGCATAAATGACACATTTCCCCTGGGTATCTTAAAGGCCAGAGGAGAATTTGGTAAGGAGGCTGTGCTGTCTGTGGCTGTGACATCCCTCTGCTGGTGACTGGCACTGTTTGGCTGCCTTGTCTGACTGGGAGGGTCTCCCTCCTGTTGCCACTCTTCGTAACCTTGAGCTGTTGTGGCTTGGTGCCCAATAGCTTTCTCAAACAAAGGAGTTGTTTGATCAGAGTCTAGGAGTGCTATCTTAACCACACAATTTCCTTTATTTCTCCGGAGCTGCTTAACTCTTTTGGCTTTCTGGGTATAAAGAACAATGAGTAAATGTGCTTTTGAATTTAGAAGTTCACCTCGATGTAATTCCAAAGAACAGACACATAGGGAAAGATAAAGCACATCGTTTCCTAACCTGGAGGCTATTGTTTCTACCTCTGTATTTGTATTCTTTGTCTCATTCATCTGTCCTCCCCATCAAGCCTGTCTTTTCGTCAGGGGAGTCTATTTAAGACAAAAACAGTTTAGAATAATTAAGCTATCTCAGCACCAGTTCTCCTTCAGCATATGTATTATTAGAGACCAAAAATGAAGTGCAACCTCAAAGTGATTATAAGTCCAATAATGAAGCTATCATTAGAGATATACAAACTCTCTAGAATAGTCTCAAAAGAACAAAAATTGAATTAGAAATTCAAATGGTCTTTGAACTGTGTTATAAAATAGTGAAACTGAATGAAATCTTTTGTGCTTGGCAGCCAACTCTCATAATTAGATAATTAAATCATAGGAAAACCCTAGACTATAGAGTATATCCTGTTTGAACATTTCATTTTCAGAACTGATGGATTATTCTCAGGAATAGAAGTTTGATGCAGTCACAGTGGGGTGGGTAGTTTTAAACAGCAAAAAAAATGTGAAGGAAGGCAGAGGGGCTTTAAGCAGATCAAGAAAATCATTCTAACCCTGTTCATGTAATTCCCTGCTCTCCAATTTCACATGAATTATCAGCCTAAGATACCACCCATCTTTCAGTTTGTCATACTGTGGTGGTTGCATGTTGCTGTAATGCTGGAAGATATGCCATCAGGATTTCAAATACTAGCAGGGTCACCCATGGTAGACAGGCTTCAGTGGAGCTTCCAGATTAAGACAGACTAGGAAGAAAGGCCTGATAACCTACTTCCAAAAATTAGCCAATGAAAACCTTATGGATCACAACAGAATATTGTCCAACGCACTTGTCATCTTGAGTGATCAGTCGCTGGAGGAGGACATCATGTTTGGTGAAGTACAGGGCCCGTGAGTGTGAGGGAGACCCTTGGTGAGATGGATTGGCACAAGAGCCACAACGATAAACTTGAACATGCCAGCCATCGTGAGGATGATGCAGGACCAGGCAGCATTTCGATGTGTTGTATATAAGGTCTCCATGAGTTGGAGTTGAGTCCATGGCAGCTATTTATCTATCTGTCAGTCTAAGAGAATGATTCTCAATCCTGGATATCCATTAGAATCACCTGAGGACCTAAGAGAAATATCAATACCCAGCCACTACTGCCAGAGTGTGATCTTACTGGTCTGGACTAGAGGCCAGGCACTGGTGATTCTAGTGTGAACCAGGATTGAAAAGATTGGTCTCAGGTATTGTAAATGCTCAGTCCATTGAAATGCCTCCCAGAAGTATTGAGATCCCAGGCAACTGTCACAAAGGGGGAAGCAGAAACAAATGAGGCATTCCCCACCCTGTAAGTGGAAAAGGCACTGTGACTTGAAGCCTTGACTTCCAAACAATACACCTCATGTCTGGTGGCTAGTATCAGATGTGCTCTCTGCATAGTTACAATTAATGCAAGAACTATATGGAACTTTTATGTTATGTTCCCACCCCTAAGTAACAATTGGGTCTACAGTTAACTGATACCAATGGGAAAGAGAACAAGTCCAGGTCTTGTACCTAACAAACATCCTCTTGAGAAGGTGATTATTATCTTTATCCATTACCTTTCCTAATATTTAGAAAAAGCCCACTTTTTCTAAATGATGAACTACATCTTTTTCCCAAAATGCCACAGAACTTGGATTTTACTAAAGTAATCCCATATCTGCAGACATGACTGCATTCTCTCCCTCCCTGTGGACTGGCAGGAGAGAGAAACTTCTGGAAGAGATGGTACAGGCTCTGTGGAGTCCAGATGAGACTTGGCCTAAAGAGAGGGAAGAGGCAAAACATCAACATAAAAAAAAAATGCGTAGTAGCACACAGAGTCCTTATATCTGAAATGATATAATTTGATATAGTAACCATAAGGTGCCTTTTTATAAGACAGTGTCTCATAGAAACATGCCAGCATCTCATTTATCTTCTGACGTCCCAAAAAATGATCCTAGGAATGTGCATCCCTGAGAAACACACACTGGGGGTAGACCCATGCTGAGCAGACCTGTTTTACCCTACCAGGCAGAAATAATACATGGAACTTGTACAGGGGTGACGATCAGGCTACCATACCACGTACCAAGCCCTTGTCAGACCTTCAAACACAAGAGGCTATTTATGATGAAGTGACAGTAACCAGATAACATGCATCCTTCTGTGATGATGCAGCCTTTTGTCTTATTCCCTGCAGCCTAGGGAATTTGTCCAGGTGATCAGGAGTCATTTTCGAGTCTGGCTGTCATCATGAAACTTCCTGATTCGTTGTAAAACCACTGTTCAGTATCATTGCCAGGTAGCAAAATCAGTCCAATTATATTGTCCACTGTTGGCAAGTCCAATATTCTTAGATTTTGCCTAAAAAGAAATCAAGACTGAGTATGTGAGGTACATGACCATTTTGAGGTGGGTGGAATTAGGTTTAGGAAGTTTCAAGTTTCTTGGTGAAGTTGATATGGTTAACTTATTTGGTCCAGTGAAAGTTTTTAATGGCCGAGAATATTATTTCTAAGTATGCTTATCAAAATGTCAAGGCATTTTTAATAAACTTATGCTGCCAGCTATGAGGGAGTAACCAGGAGAGAACTTGCCTTCCCACAGTAGACAACTAGAAGGCTAAAAAATTTAAATACATATACATATATATATACATATATATGTATATATATATATTTAGACATTAGACCACAGACAACCCAGAACTGTGATCCTCAGGAGAAGGGAAACAAAGGAGATAAAACCTACAATTGACTCAGATTTCTGCCTGGAGGCACTTTTCAGATCATGATACAGAAAGGAATAACCCAAGCAGAGCACTGACAGTCTTACAGAATTGAAGAGATAAGATGAAAGTTTGGAGAGCTGAAACAGCTAAAATTTGTGGAACGGAGTATAAAATAGGTGAAAGCTCTGCAGAGAAAGAACTGCATAAATCTGTGGGTCTGTGAATCCCTGTGTGGTGCAAATGGTTAACATTATCAGCTGCTAACTAAAAGGTTGGAGATTCGAGTCCACCCAGAGATGTCTTAGAAGAAAGGCCTGGCGATCTACTTCATCAGCCATTGAAATTCTATGGAGCACAGTCTACTCTGTCATGGGGTCGCCATAAGTCGGAGTCAACTCAAAGGTTACTGGTTTGGTTTTGGTTCTTGAATAATAAGCCAAGCCTGTGTAACGTGAAAGACCACTAAACCAGGCAAAGACCAAGTGATGGACTGTAAGCTAAAAAATTCTCAGAGCTTACACAAGGCTGGGAGATGTTCATGTTCTAACATGCATGAATGAAGAGGTCTTGTTGATTACCTGGGACATTGAGTAAAGACCAAAGAAGAACTATACATTGATAATAAGACTAAATTAGTCCTAAGTAAAGGCTACTCTGGTGTACCTGCATGGCACAAATGGTTAAGCTCTAGACTACTAACAGAAAAGTTGGCAGTTCACACCCACCAGAGGCACCTTGGAAGTAAGTCCTGGCGATCTACTTCCAGAAGGTCATAGCTTGAAAAACCTATGGAGCAGTTCTACTCTGCACATGTGGGGTCACTATGAGTCAGAATCAACTTGACAGCAACAAACAACAACACAGGTTACTCTAGATTCACCCTAACAAAGCTTAAAAACAAGCCTCAAAAAAATAAAGCTGATGTATAAATAACTAAACTGTCTGCCAGAAAAAGTCTACTATTTGTAAAGGAAAACAACAGAATCCAGAACTCCATGTCCAGCATTCACTCAAAAATTACTAGACATGTGAAGATGCTGAAAAGTGTGACCCATGACTTTAAGAAAAGTCAGTCAGTTGAAACCAAGCAGAAATGACAGGGATAATGGAATCAGCAGCAAGGACTTTAAAGCTGCTATTATAATGATTCTCAGTGATTTAAAGGAAAACATGAACATAACAAGACAAAAATGGAAGATAAAGAAAATACTGAAGTGGAATTTTCAAGAGCTCAAAAACACAGTATCTGGATGGGCTTAACAGAAGATTAATCACTGTTGAAACGAACATCAGTGAACTGGAAAACATAGCGATACAAACTATCCAAACTAAAGTCTAGAGAGACAAAGGACTGAAAAAAATGAACCAAAACTTAGTGATCCGTGGAACAATATTGAGTAATATAATATCCCTGTGGGGGAACTGCATAAGAAATAATGGCCAAAATTTTTCCAAATTTGATGAAAGCGATAAATTCACAGACCAAAGAAGCTAAATAAACCACTAGTAGGATAAGCACAAAGGAAACCACACCAAGGCACGTCTTAATAAAATGGCTAAAATGAGGGCTAAACAGAAATATCTTAAAAGCAGCCAGAGGAAAAAGGACATATTACATGCAGGAAAACATAAATAAGAAATACCACTGACTTCTTGTCACAAACAAAAGGCAAGCTAGATGACAATGGAATGACATCTTTAAAGTATTTAAAGGAAGAAACTTTCAGAAAATAGAGGACACTTCCCAAATCATTTTAGAAGTCAGCATTACCCTGAGAGCAAAACTACACAAAAATGTTATACGAAAGAAAACCACAGACCAGATACAAAATTTAGCTCACAAATACAAATACGAAATGGATAATAGATCTTAAATATAAAATGAAAACTATAAAACTTCTAGAAGAAAACATAAGAGAAAAATCTCTGCAACTTTGAGGTAGGCAAAAACTTCTTAGGCAAGACTCAAAAATCCTAAGTCATAAAAAAATGTTATCAATTGCACTTCAGCAATATTAAACTCATCTGCTCTTTGAAAGACAAATAAAAAGGCAAGTCAGAAAATAGGAGAAAATATTAACCATACATATATCTGGCAAATTACTTGTATCAAGAATCTAGAAAGACTTATAACTCAATAACAAGAAAAATGTTTTTAAATGGAAAAAATTTGATAAGGCATTGCACGAAAGAAGATATACATTCAACAACATCAATAAAAAAGAAAATAAATTATTAAAACAGAAAAAAAAAACCCTATGGAGCAGTTCTAGTCTGCACAGATGGGGTCACCATGAGTTGGAATTGACTCCACAGCAAATAACAGCAAATCTAATCACCTCGTTTTCTGGAGTTTTAATTGTGCTGCTTATGATTCCTTGTTGTTTCTTTTCCATTTAAAATTGTGAGGAAAATGTCTAGTACACTTCCTGGCACATAATAAGTGCTTATGATTTTTGCTGTATGAATTACTTTTTTTTCCTTTTATCTCCTGTAATAATTTATAAGGTAGTCACCTTGTTTTATAGTCTACAGTGATTACTTCAAAGAGTTTTAACTGGAAAATTAAATGAAATTATATTATTTTCAAAAATAAAAAAAGAAGACATACAAATGTCCAATAGCACATGAAAAGAGACTCTGCATCGTTCATCAAAGCAGTACCTTCCTGCAGTATACTGACTGTTTTTAAGACCACTGATAGAAAGACATTAGCACAAGCAGCATGAGAGCGTGATAGTGAGCCACAGAGAGGTGGTAACCAAAGAATGATGCGTTTTTATTGGATTCACTCCCAGACAACCCACAGGCCCCACCTCCAGGTTTATGCTCTCTGATAAGCATAGCTGGTATTTACTGAGAGCTAGATTTGTGCCAGGCACTCTTAAGAGCACTTTATTTTATTGCCTCACTGAATCTCCATTACCCACCAATGAGATGTGAACTACCACTACCCCTTTTGGTGGCTAGACACAGAGAGATTGATAACTTGTCTACGGTCACACAGCTACAATGCGGTAAAACTAGAAGCTGAACCAAGGCAGTGTCTCTCTGGAGGCCAGTTAATCACAGAGCAGTGCTGATGCTGGGAACATGGCGGTGCCTCTGCTTTTGGCCCATATTGAAATGCCTTGTCGTTATTCAAAGGAAATGGAAAGCCTCACTGATGAGGTTTCAAGCAGAAGGCAACGTGATCAGATTGCATTTTCCCTCAATTTGCAGAGATAATAGGCCGCTGACAAAGATATCATCACTCCCATAGAGTAAAATACGGTTGCTGTGCAAGAGTCCAACAGAATCAGAAAACAAAGGAAACAATAACAGCTAATTGAAACTTCAGGGGAAGTTTTTTTGTTTTTGTTTTTGCTTTTTTTTTTTTTTTAAGTGGTCATGGGGACCACATGTGTGTCAGAGTAGAACTGTGCTTCATAGGGTTTTCAGTGGCTGATTTTTTGGACACCAGGATTTTCTTCAGAGGTGCCTCTGGGTGGATTCAAACTTTGAACCTTTCGGTTAGCAGCCAAGTGTGTTAACCATTTGCATCACCCAGGGATTCCAAGGAAACTTTAGGTATAATATAGTTCGGGGAGCCCTGGTGGCACAATGGTTAAGTGCCCTGCTGCTAACCAAAAGGCCTACGGTTCAAACCCACCAGCCGCTCTGCAGCGAAAAAAGACCTGTTAATCGGCTCCTGTAAAGTTTATAGCATGGGAAACCCTATGGGGCACTGCTACTCTGTCCTGTAGGTCGCTAGGAGTTGGATGACACACAGCAACAACATAATATAATTCTTTTTGGTGTTAGCTGCCATCGAGTCAACCTCCGACTCATGGTGTATAATATGATGACTATTTTTGGAGGCTGAATGAGTGAATTTACTTCCTAATATTGCTATGATAAAATTGTCCCACTTCAGGAAAACACTAAAAATGTGACCCCTTGGGAAACAGGACTCAAGTGTTTGACTAGATTTTTGTGAAGCCTCATGCAAACTATGCATTTCCAATACTCCCTAAGGTCCTTATGTGGCGCAAATGGTTTGCACTCAAGGAGCCCTGGTGGTGCAACAGTTAAGCACTCAGCTGCTAACCAAAACGTTGCTGGTTTGAACCTACCAGCAGCTACATGGGAGAAAGACCTGGTGATCTGCTTCCATAAGGATTACAGCCTAGAAAACCCTATTTGGCAGTTCTACTCACAGGGTTGCTATGAGTCAGAGTCTACTCAGTGGCACCCAACAACAACACTAGCTTAAAGGTTGCTGGTTCAAACCCATGCAGTGGTGCCATGGAAGGAAGATCTGTTTTCTTAAAGATTACAGCCAAGAAAACCCTATGGAGCAGTTCTGCTCTGTAACACATGAGGTCACCATGTGTCAGAATCAACTTGATTGCAGTGGGTTTGGTTTTTGCTTTTTTTTTCCTAGGGTGAGAAACTAGAGTGTTCTGGAAACTATGTGGAAATTATGGGTTTATATATATATGCAGTCTATGTGAAATTAGTAAATTGTTAAGAGCTTTGGGATCATCTGGAATCATTATCATCACCACTATCATCATCAAGGACAGTGTTTTAGGGTCAGTGATTACACGGTATTTGTTACATTGAACCATACAGACAAGGGGGCACAAATTCTCTTTCCGTATTCCATAGCCAACTCAACACTTGTTGAGTACCTATTCTATACCAAGCATTATCTCATTTAATCCTCAGAAAAACCCTGCCAGAGAAAGTGGCTCCCCGTCTTTAGAGATAAGGAAACTGAGACTAAGAGAGGCTAAGTAACTTGCCCAAGGTCTCACAGTGCACCAGTGAGAGGGTTTGGGATTAGATCCAAGATGTACTTGGTTCCAAAGCTGGTATGCTTGGTGCTTCCGATAAAAGTTTGTCATTGACTTTGTGCCCATTTTCCGTGATGCACTGATCAGAGTATGGAACAGATTTTATTTTTTTGCAGACACAGATGTTAAAGTCTGATTGTCAGTTGGCTGCTAAAACTCAAGTGTTGGTTGAAGAAGCAATATTATCTACAGTCTTTGCCCCTTCCCTTTCTTCTTGAGATAAATAAAGATTCAGCTATAGGGCTGATTACCCAGACCTGCTTCTGAAGACTGCAAGACATTCTGTCCGGCAGAGCCAGTTGGGGTTGATTTATTTTGTTCAACAGCTGCAGAACCAGGAGCTGCTGCGGGCAATGATGAAGAAGGCTGAGCTGGAAATCAGCAGCAAAGTGATGGAAACGATGAAGAGGTTGGAGGATCCTGTGCAGCGACAGCGCATCCTGGTGGAGCAAGAGAGACAAAAGTACCTTCACGAAGAGGAGAAGATTGTCAAGAAGTTATGGTGAGTGCCAGTCTCCTCTTGCATGTTTAGATGTTTAACTTTAAAAGGAAAATCTTCTTTGCCAACAAGGAGGCCCTTCCTAGTTGGTATTGTCTCCTTCCTGTCTTAATATTGAGCACCTCCTGTGTACAAGGCGTCCCTGGGTGGTGCAAACAGTTAACACAGTTGGCTGCTAACAGAAAGGTCGGGGGTTCAAGTCCACCCAGAGGTGACTCAGAAGAAAGGCCTGGTGATCTACTTCTAAAACATGAAGACATTGAAAACCTTATGGAGCACAGGTCTACTCTGATACACATGGGATTGCCATGAGTCAGAATCAACTACATGGCAACTGGTTTTTGTTTTTTACTATGTACAAGTCAGAGTTATGCTGGTTCTGGTTATCTGTGGAACTTAGCACCCTCCATTGAGGCCTAAGAAATCTGGCCATCCTCAGGAGGCTGAGCTAGTCTCTTTAAAAGTTGGAGCATCATACTCTTCTGTAGGGCTCAGCAGCACATAAAATTAAAAGGAGCAAATGGCAAAACCCAGTGATAAATGTGAAGTCTGTATCTAATCTCAATAAATTAAAATGAATAGCCCAAATAACAGAATACTAAAATTCTCTTCCTATTATTCAATTGTAGTTAAAATCTCAAAAGAGGAATTTAAATGTAAAGTATGTCTGGTACAGAATGAAATTTGCTTCCTTGAATGTTAAGAATCTTGTATAAGGTTCTGATTAAAGCATCTATAAAGTCCCACGGTTGAAATGAGCAGTGTTTTATTACCCCCCACCCAATCACGAGGGGAGGCACCTCTTTTATGTTAATGTATGTTTAGTAGGGCAAATCATAGAACTATTTCACCTCTTAGTACAATGAACAGTCATTTTTCTGGATGTTTGGTAATTCTCTTGTTTCTCGGAAAGCTTAAATTTCCCAACTTGGAATTGTAAGGGAGCAACTGTCAAATTCCTCTCACGACCAGAATGCCAGAAGTCTTCGTGTCCTAACGTGTATGTTCTATTGGATATCCAGGCTGTAGCGTATGTCATCCCTATGCCAACCCAGTATGTTTGATTAAAATTAGAATGTCCCTCTCAGTAGCAGTATAGTAAAAACAAAAATAAGAATTTGAATTATTATCTTCCGAATTAACCAAATTTGGCCCCTGTCCATGCCACGTCTCAAAATAGCTTCTAAAAATGTATTTAGTTCATACATTTCTGAACAGAAATCATCACCCACTATGAGGTACGAAGGCTATCTTTCTCTTAAATGTTTTTGTGACAGCCCAGCTAACTAAAACTAGGTCTCAATATTTTCTTTTAAACTTTTAAAAAATATATATCCTTTTAATAATATTTTTATAATTTTTCCAATAAAATTATGAGAAAAAGGAATTTCCTTTCTTTAAAAATTGTGTCAATTGGTTAGCTGAGAGAACCCTTACTTCCAGCCTAGAAAAGTCATCTTGAATCACAATAATATCCTGAGGCTAGTAGTCCAGCATAGGAATGAAGTTGGGAGGGCAACAGGATAAGCATGTCGCAAGAGGACATTATTTGGTTGGCATTGTAGCATGACCACACATAAATAAGATGTACACAGTGCCCTTGAAGAACATCACTCTAGCAGAGAACGTGTAAGTATGCATATAGCACAAAACAGGGATTTAGACGTGCCTGGTGAACCCTGGGTGGTGCAGTTAACATGCTCAACTGCTAACCAAAAGGTTGGAGGCTCAAGTCTACCCAGAAGCACCTGGGAAGAAAGGCCTGGGGATCTACTTCTAAAAAATCAGCCATTGAAAACCCTATGGAGCACAGTTCTTCTCTGACACACGTGGGGCTGCCATGAATTGGAGTTGACTTGATGGCAACATTTTTGTGTGTGTGTGAAGCTTCACAAAGGAAGGATTACTTCTGACTCCAGGAATCAGGAAGGGTAACATAAAATAAGTTATTCTTCATATGCCTCATAGATCAAGCACAGTACCATGCATGTAATAAGAGTCTCAAAAATGGTTTGTTAGACTAAATTGAGTTGGCCTTGAAGATAATGGGATTTCATCAGTGAAGGTCAGGGAGGAAAGGCCTTCCAGCAGAGAAACCCAGCAAACCAACAAGTCTCTGGACCAGTAAAGCACAGGACATCCTTAGAGACTTGTGAGTAGTCCATTTTGGCCGGGGTTGGGTGCAAGAATGCTAATGATATCTTGTGTTTGGGTTGTGCCATTTTCATTTGCATGGTGCCTTCACATACACTACTGTACTTGGGCCTTGGATGACTGGAATTTCCCTAGATAGAGCTTAGGAATCTGCATTTTACAAAGGTACGTGGGTGATTCTGAAGCACATTTACATTTGAGAGTTACTGCCCAGCATGATGAGGAGGTCACTGAAGTTTTTGATCAAGGAAGTAGTAAAATCAGAGCTGTATTTCTGGAAGTCTACTCTGGCAACCATATGCAGGACTGATTGAGGGGGAACGAGACTGGCGTCTGGGAAACCACACTGGAAGCTACTGTAATGGTTCAGGTAAAATGCAATAAGGCCTGAACCAAGAAGTAGAATAGGAATGGGAAAATAAATCAAATGCAAAATACACTGGGAAGTTTTAATCACTTAGGTTAGCTGATTGGATGAGTCAGGGTGGCAAGAGAGAGCCAGTTATAAAAGACAAATTGTTTCAACTCTGGACGATTAGGTGAACACACACACATACACACACCTAGTGGAAAATAAGTTCTCTTTTGGTCATGTTCAGTTAAGTTGCTGGTAATCCATTCAGAGAGATGAAATTTGGATCTAGAACTTTGTAGAAAAATTGGATCAAGATCATTTTTCTCTGGTGGGCTTCTAAATGGAATAGGTAGACTTCTAATATCAGTCAGATGAAATCTATTTTAGCAAACTGTATGCTTCTTTTTAACTAAAACCAAACCAGTTGTCATCAAGTCAGTTCCAACTCATGGCGACCCCATGTGTGTCAGAGTTGAACTTTGCTCCATAGGGTTTTCGACAGCTGATTTTTGGAAGTAGATCCCCAGGCCTTTCTTCAAAGGTGCCTCTGGGTGGACTCAAACCACTAACTTTTCAGTTAGAAGCTGGCCTTGAAGATGGTCAGTCTCTGGATGGCATGTAAACTGTTTGCACAACACAGGGACTCTTTTTTTTTTTTTTTAACTAAGGTAGCATGAAAAGCACTTCAAACAAGTAGAATGAATTTGCCTTTAAACCACAGCAGCTGTAAACACCTGACACCTGACATTCTGTTAAGCAGAATTGACATCTCAAACGTTATTGATTGCTGTAATATAGAAAATTTATTTTCAGCATTCATTTTAGCTCCATTGTCTCTTTTACAATTTGAATGAACAACTTTGATTTTTAATGCTTTATCTATTGTAAGTATCATAAACATAAATTCAAGTGCTGTTATAAATGTACAATAATATCAGTACACATTTTTGTATGTTCCCTGATTAACAAAGGAAAAGCTATGAAGTTTAAGGGTCTCTTGTGTGCAGGGTTATGAAATCCAAGAGACATATTGTGTAGAAGGGATTAAAATAGGATTATAGGCAAAGGATAGACATCAAATCAGATAACAGCTCCTTATAATATTAATTACAAATTGGCAGGCTTGTGGTTGTTGCTATAACGTGATAGCATTTGGGTCTTAGCTTTTCCATCAAAGCTCTGAAGGACTGGCCAGTGTGTCCAGCAAATCCGTTATAACAATTCTGTTTGGCTATGAAATGAGAAAGAACATTTCCGCACAGTCGTCCCGTATTCAGAGTTCTTAGAGGGACGGCACACATTCTCTCCGTCTCAGGGACATAATTGCTGTACAAGTCTCCTCTGGGTGTGTTCACATAACACTGGCTACCTTTCCATAGTTTGTGAATGTGGAAAGTGAGCAACCAAGGCTTCCTGTCATCTGAAGGAGCATTATTTCATCAGAAGTAGACACGGGTAATTTTGGTCCATTGTCTGTAATGGAAATAAAGACATCACCAAAAACTCCATCATGGTTCTCAGAGGTGGATGAATTTGTAACTTTCCCTGATCCTGTTGTATTTATGCAAAGTCCTACCTGAATCCCACCTCCAGCTGCTAAGAGAGTGCATCCATTTGCTCACCTCGTGGAATGGATCTTTGTGCGCCATCTTTTTAGAGATTCCCCATGCCTTCCTTTTTCTCTTTCCCCTGCCTGCTCCACACGCCGGGCTCCAAGAGGTAGAATTGCTGTTTGCTTACTGCCACCTAGTGGTTCTTCATTCCTCAAAGTTCTTTTCCTCCATTTCTTTGAGCAGATTTTCTGTTGTTGGGATTTATAGGCAAACTGACATGATACAAACATGTATTTAAGATTGTGTTATTAACGTGCCCAGGAGGCAGGATGTTGTTGATGTTGTTGTTTGTTTTTAAGTGAAGTAGAAGATCTTAATTTAGCTCTACTGGAGCTGGCATGAAGGAGCCCTGGTGGCGCAGTGGTTAAAGCAATCGACTGCTAACTGAAAAGGTCAGCAGTTTGAAACCACCAGCGGCTCCGCGAGAGAAAGATGTGGCAATCTGCTTCCATAGAGATTTACAGCCTTAGAAACGCTATTGGGTTGCTATGAGTCGGAATCGACTTAACAGCAGTGGGTTTGGGTTTGGGTGGGGGAGCTGGTACACCTTAAGTGTATGTGTGTTTGTGACACACATACACAGCAGAAATCAGGGCTGTGATCATTTCTTCTCCTTGTCTCTTGGAGAGGATGTCCTGTCATCCAATCATTGATGACAGGACAGTCAGTTTAAACCAAAGGTTCTCACTCAGGGGCAATTTTGCCTCCTTCCCACCCCAGGGACATTTGGTAATGTCTGGAGACATTTTTGTTGTCACAAGTTGGGGAGCATGCTACTGGCGTCTAGTGGGTAGAGGCCAGGGATGCTGCTAAACATCTTACAATGCACAGGACAGCCTCTACAACAAAGAATTATCTGGCCCAAAATGTCAATAGTGCTGAGGTTTAGAAACTGATATAAACCAGTTCAGACTTCTCATTTTGTTCCACCATAGCTTGCTCTTTCTTCCCATTCAAGTTACAAAATACACACATCCCTCCCTTAGCTGGCACTGGCACCATTGAAAATGGTAGCAAAGAGTGGGCCCTTTGCATGTGGGGTCTTAAAAGCTAGCGAGCAGCCATCTAAGATACATCAATTGGTCCCAACCCACCTGGAGCAAAGGAGAATGAAGAACACCAAAGACACACGAAAAATATTAGCCCAAGAGACAGAAAGGGTCACATAAACCAGAGACTCCATCAGCCTGAGACCAGAAGAACTAAATGGTGCCCGGCTACCACTAATGACCACCCTGACAGGGAAGACAACAGAGAATCTATGATGGAGCAAGAGAAAAGTGGGGGACAGAACTGAAATTCTAGTAAAAAGACCAGACTTAAAGGTCTGACTGAGACTGGAGGGACCCTGGAAGACATGGCTCCCAGACTCTCCGTTAGCCCAGAACTGAAACCATTCCCGAAGCCAACTCTTCAGACAAAGATTAGACTGGACTATGGGACATAAAATGATATTCATGAAGAAAGAGTGCTTCTTAGCTCAAGTAGATACATGAGACTAAATAGGCAGCTCCGTCCAGAGGTGAGTTGAGAAGGCAAAAAGGGACAGGAGCTGGTTGAATAGAAACGGGAAATCTGAGGTGGAAAGGAGGAGTGTGTTGTCACATTATATAGGGAGAGCAGCTAGGGTCACATAGCAATGTGTGTATAAATTTTTGTATGAGAAACTGACTTGAACTGTAAACTTTCACTTAAACCACAATTAAAAAAAAAAAAGAGTGGGCCCTTTGTCAGCCAGCCATGATCATCCCTTTGGCCAATCTTGGGGCCTCCCCATGAATAAGTCCTGGCAAAATTTCTTTGTACCTGTCTTCTACCTCAGCAAAATATTTGAACCAAACCAAACTACTTTTCTAAGATGGGTTCCCACATCTGAGTGAAAGGCTAGAGGAGGGCTGGGACAGAATATAAAATGGGCAGCTTTGACCTCTCTAGCTGCTTTGCTACTACACCTGTCCCTGTTGAAGCCCTTAGTGCTCAGTTTGGTCTTCTGGTCTGCTTGCTCCCTACAGTGAGTTGGAAGACTTTGTTGAAGACTTGAAGAAGGACTCTGCATCAGCTGGCCTAGTGGTTACTGTAAAAGACGTGGAAGATGGAGCATTCCTCCTGCGACAAGTGGGAGAAGCTGTAGCTTCCCTGAAAGGTGAGCTTCTGCCTGGAGGGGAGAAGCCTGAGGTGTTTCCTGGGGTGTTTAAAAACCTATCAGATAATAAAGGAATCATTCATTCATTCAGCGTCTACCATGTGCCAGGCACTGTTCTAGGCACTTGGGGTACATCACTGAACAAAATAGACAAACGCCCTGCCCTCTTGGAGGACCTCTTGGATACCACACGATTTAGGACTAAGTGATAAGGTTCTATTTGCTAGACTCTTACAATATGCCAGGACAACTGTACCAAACTCATTAAAAACAACTCTAAGGGACAGCTGACCTTGCCCAAGACGTACCGATAGGAAGTGAGGCCCAAAGTCACTGTGTACCCAGCTCTCTGTGACACTCTTCTTTGCTCTTAACCCACTGCCTCCTGAAGACGCGTGACCTGCACCATGGCTTAATGAACTGTGCAGCTCAGCCTTATCCAGTGGCGGTGGGGGTGGCGGGTTGCAGCTCTGGGTTTTTCTCCTAGCGTTAACCAGCTGGTTTTGGCCTGCAGGAGAATTTCCAACCTTACAAAATAAGATGCGCGCCGTCCTCCGCATCGAGGTGGAGGCCGTACGGTTCCTGAAGGAGGAGCCACATAAGCTGGACAGTCTCCTGAAGAGAGTGCGGAACATGACCGACGCCCTGACCGTGTTGCGGAGGTGACCGGGCTTCCAGCGAGGCTGGGGCGGCCGCAGAGGGGCTGTGCTGGGAACGTCAGGGTTCCGTGCTCAGGACTTATCCACCTCTTAGTTCTCGTGCCTCCTTTCAGTATGAATTGAGGCTATAATTCCTCAGCACAGGCTTGCTGCATTTGGCACATCCTAGGGCTTAAAATTAGGAAACACAGTAAACATTTTTTTAACAATCATCTGAAGGTGAGTTTTTTTTTTTTTTAAATAACATTTTGAAGTTGAATTAATCAAAATAATTTATTAGGACGGTTCAGTCAAACTCTCCCAGAAACTAATGCAAACCGAGCTGATGCAGAGGAGGAAGCAGCTACCTGAATACCTACTTAGTTCCTGAAATGGGATGTGTAGCCTTAGTAGATTTGGGGAAGACTCTAAGTAGATCCTAAGACTATTTACATGCTTCTTTCTGAATGATAATCAAAAGGAAATTTCATGGATTAAACTGTGGATTTAATGCCAAAAAAAAAAAAAAAAGCCTCCTTAATTTCAAGAAGCCTTTGTGGTGCAGTGGTTGAAGTGCTGGACTGCTAACCAAAAGGTCGGTGGTTTGAACCCACCAGCCACTCCAAGGGAGAAAGATGTCTGCTTCCATAAAGATTACAGCCTTGGAAACCCTCTGGAGCAGTTCTACTCTGTCCTGTAGGGTCACTATGAGTCGAAATCCACTCTACAGCAACGAGTTTAGTTTTGGTTTTTTGTTTTTTCCTTCACTTCAAGCACAGAGATGACCAAAATCGCTTCCTCCTGCAGAGTCCATATCTAACTGAGTAGAGGAAAAAATTGTACCTGGATTAAATTTTCTGATTGATTCACTCAATTCAAATTGCCAGTGTGAACTTTTTTTTCCAGTAGGATAAAAATCTGATAAAAGAATTCTTCACTAAGCCCTTAGCTAAATATGTAACCCATCCCCATAAGCCACCCTTACTAAGTAGAAATAAATAGTAGCCTGGCAGTAAAACTGCTCCATGCTCCCTTCTCTTGCCTGAAAAACAAATAAAAGAAATGTTTAGACCCAGCACAGAGGGATGAAGCTTAGTATTTATCTTATCTCCATGGAATGCAAGTTCTTTAAAAAGTTGGGACTGTATGTTTTTTAATGTGTGATTTTTGTTTTTTTTGTCCCGTAAATCCTCAGTAGTGAGAGTGATAAACCAGATAAATAACTTTAAAAATAAAAATACAGAAGTTTTATCTGCCATTAGGCTTGCCATCACAAGCCTTTATACTAATTAATGTTTTCTTAGTATCTTTTGTGTATAACTGACTCGGCTGGGCACTGCGGAAGATGCAGGAGAAAGGGAGGAATAAGCATGCCCCCAATTCGTCTGCTAACTGAAAGGTCAGCTGTTCAAACCCACCCAGCATAGCCACCAGAGAAAAGACCTGGTGATCTGCTCCCATAAAGATTATAGCCTAGGAAACCCTATGGGCAGTTCTTCTCTGTCCTATAGGGTCACTGTGAGTTGGAATCAACTTGACAGTACACATCAAGCACAAGATGCTTACGGCCCAGCAGGGAAGATAAAGCAGGTGGACAAACAGTCACAGTTCAGCACTGACTTAGGGGCTTGGGATGCTGAAGTGGTTTGGTACGTATTGAATTTGACATGCTGGAAGGATATCTCAACAGAGCTGCCCATTAGGCACTTAGAATCTACGTGGAGTGAAGTTCAAGAGACCCTGACTAACTCAGTTTCAGGAAGAAAGGGAAGGAGGGAGGATGGATTTAGAACTGGAAGTCACCTTCATGGAAACAATTGTTGAAAAAGGAAGAGATGGCCAAGAAAGAGATTAGAATGAGAGGAAAGGAGAAAATAAATCCTTGGGAAATACCTGTATTTAAGAGGCTAGGATAGGTAAAGTAAACAACAAAAGAAACAGAGACGTGAGTGGCAGAGGAGTTATAGAATGCACTATCTTTCATCAAATCAAAGAAAAGAGCATTTTAATAAGAAAGGAATATGGAGAAAGGGATGGAACCTAATTAAAAATATGGGTCAAGTGGTGTGCTTGACACTGTCTTACATATATTGTAACTTTACGGCATTAATCATAACAGCAGCCCCTGAGGAAGGCAGTATCATCGTCATCATCATTGTCATTATTATATTTTACAGAAAATTATCTGACGTTCAAAATGGAGCAGTGATCTCCCCAACATTATGTAGCTAGAACATGGTAGAGGTGACATTAAAAGCAGATCTGTCTGTCCCAAAGTCCATGTCTTCACCACTGAACCATGAGTAGACATGGACAAATAGCATCACATGCCTTCAGTAAGCAGCAGAGGATGAGGACTAAAAACACCTGTTAGATTTGGAAGGCACTATTGAACTTGCCAGGAGACTCAGCTGAGTACAAGTGGGGAAAGCCAGATAACAACAGGTTGAGGGACAAGAACAAGGAATCAGAATTAGTGCATTATCTACTCTCTCAAGATGTTTGGCAGTGAAAGGAGGGAGAGTATGGAGGTTTTAAGAAAGCTTTGGAGTCGTGGGGTGGTGTAAACAGTTAATATGCTTGGCTGCTAACTGAAAGATGGGAGGTTTGAGTTTAACTAGAGGTGCCTTGGAAGAAAGACCTGGCAATCTACTTCTGAAAAATCAGCCATTGACAACCCTATGGAGCACACAACTCTGCTCTGACACACACTGGGTTGCCACGAGTTGGGATTGACTCAACGGCAACTTGTTTGGTATTTTTTTGGAAGGAAGCTTTTGAAACTGTAACTGAGTATATCTGAGGGCCATACAGGTCAGGATCAGGTGGAAGAGAGTGATATTAAAATAATACTATCCACTGCATGCCACCACTACCCAAACAGTGATGGAATCATGCCAGTCTATGCCCAACAGCACCATCGGAAAGGGAAAGACAGACCATCTCCTGAGAAAAGGACTGAAAAATCAGCTGCCAGAGATATCTAGCAGGCAATGCAAGGGCTTTAGGAAGTTGCCATGGAAACCTTCAACCCTGAGCTGCTACTCTGAGTTTCAGAATGTTTTAATTTTGAAACAAAACCTTTCCTGGCTTTGGGATGACATAGCATTCAAGTATGCCACGATAGTAAAATGGGAGTTACCGTACACCACAATAGTAAAATGGGAGTTACCATACGTATTTTAATGGTTAACACTGCCATGCCTGGTTTCTCCTAGACATGTCACTGATGGGCTCTTGAAAGGTACAGATGCAGCCCAAGCCGCACAGTACGTCGTGATGGAAAAGGCCACTGCGGTGGAAGTCCTGAGGAACCAGGAGGATGCCCCCCACACCACAGGCCAGCCCCTCTCCGGCGCAGGAGTCCCTGGTGATGTGAAGTCAGAGGTGGTGACGGTGCACCATGCTCAGAGTGCGCCTGTTGTCATCCAGCCCTCTCAGCACTCCTCATCCTTGCTCAACCATGCCCAGAACTTGCCTGGGGGGCCAGGGCCTCACCCGGCCAGCCCTCCAGCCGTCCCACAGGAAGTAGCGTCTGCTCTACAGCCAGCCCCTCAGTCCCCACAGATGCCCGTGAATGGTTCCACCATGCAGGGCCTGTTCATTGAGGAAATCCACAGTGTGAATGCCAAGAACAGGGCTGTGTCTATTGAGGTAGAGTCCTATTTCCATGTCTTTTAACCCCATAAAGGAGTGTAACACGTGGTCCTTTCCCTCAAGGAATTTACAGACTGTTTGTAGAGATAATTCCTATATGTATCAAAAGGTAGATTTTTAAAACTGTAGATGGGTTTCCAGGGGCAGTGTTGGTTCAGTGGTAGAATTCTCCCTTTCCATGTGGGAAACTCAACTTCAGTTCCCGGCCATTGCACTCATGTGCGGTCGCCACCTGTCTGTCAGTGGAGGCTTGAGTGTTGTTATGATGCTAAACAGGTTTCAGTGGAGCTTCTAGTCTAAGATGGGCTAGGAAGAAAGGGCTGGCAATCTACTTTCAAAAATCAACCAGTGAAAACCCTATCAATCAGTGCACTGGGTTGCCACATACTGGGGGCTGACTTGAGGCCTCCTAACAACAACAAACCAATGGGTTTCAACAGCCAGATTAGGAAAAGGGTAGATCATATTTCAGAGAAGGGTGCAGACCTATGAGAAGGTGAGGCAGTGGGGTGCTGGTAAATGTTCATCCAAGCTTTCTAGGGGGACATGTCCTGATCTGTAGCATTTGCCAATTTTCATGGTGTAAATACTTCCACTGTAACCAATTTTGAGCTACAATATGCCATCACCGAGCATGGTGTTGGGAAGAAATGTGGCAATCAGTTCTCCTGAGCTAGTGTGAGCCGGCTTCAGCACACCAGTGATATGCTGAAGATGAGGGTTTGCCACCTGCGGCTGATCATGAAAGATAAATAGAATCTGGGTAAGCAGAGAATTGTGGTTGAGGGCATTCTAGGACAGAGGTGTGCTGGAGGAAAAAGCTGCGACTGTAAGTTAAACCTGTTTAACTAGCACAAGAAAGAGGGGATAAGTCTGGAAACAGATTTGGGCGAGCTTGAATACCGGCCCAAGATGTCTAAAGTTTATTTTGCAGGTATCAGAGAAATGCTGCCACTTTTGACCAGTGATAAAATGGTGTCTTCAGGAAGTTAATCTGGAAACATATACAGAATTGATTGAGGTGGGGATTTAGAAGTAAGGGAACTAGATGGGAAGTTAATAGAGTATCCTAAGGGTAAAAGACAGAAGCAGTCAGAATTGAAAGAGAAAACTAAATCCTAAGGTGACACAACATACAGAAAAATCAGGCTATGTTTTTAAGTGTTCTTTTTATCAGGAGCTGGTATCAATACTCAAATAATACATTATGCTTTCCTAGCTCTCTCCTACAACTTGTCCACCATTCATTGATATCTGTCCCCAGCAACCTGGTTCCTAACCTTCCAGCCTGTCTTGAAAGTCATCATTGGGTAACTCAGGTTGGGCATGTCCAGTTGACCTCTTGCTAAAGCCAAGTTCATGGCTGTTGGGCTCTGAACACTACATAGCTTTTCTCTGTTCCAATATCAGTGACAATGCCCCTTATCTGAGTCAGCTATTTAAAAAATGCATATCACTGTAGGGGGTGGAAATACGATAGGATGAATATGATTCTATCACCAGTGCTTGTTAGGTAGGGTAGATGAGAGGCTTGAAAACACATTTCCTCCCGAGAATTAGTGGATCAGCCTCTTTCATCTTGATATTTAAAAGATGTCATTACAACAACTCATTTAGCTAACAAATATTTATTGAGCACTCTCTGGGCATAGTGTGTGTGTTTTAAGTCTTGAAGAGGGATTATGAGTCATCTCTGAAAATACCTTGATGTATAAGTAAGGAGACCTGGGTCTTACTCCCAGTTCTGCCACTGACTAGTGGGCTGAGCTTCACTAGCCCCTGCTGTGCGTGAGGCGGTCATAGGCACTGGGCGTAGGCAGTGAACAAAACGGACAAAGCCCATGCCCTTGAGAAACTTACTTACTTGTAGGAAGAGATGCAGAATAAATATATGCCAGGTGATAATAAATGCTACGGAGAAAAATTAAAGGACAATAGGAATGTTGAAGGGGGTGATTGCTGTTGATATAGAAGGAATCTTGAGCAAATCCTTCACCTCACTAGGACTCAGCCTGCTCATATGTGACAAGTGTCATTTGGTGATCTCCAGGGTGGCGCAGGACCAGGTATCGAGTCGGAGTCGACTCGACGGCACCTAACAACAACAGCAACAAGGTCCTTTCCGATTCTTATGTTATGTAGTTCCACTAACCCTGGTACTAATTTCCACTTTGCCCTCCTGCAGTGACTAATATGCACTCTCTAAAATCACAGAGAAGTGTTCTTTTTAAAATGTACAGGTATTTAAAAATACATTGTATGTATTTTATGTATATTTTCCTATCATAGAACTTGATGATGCTTCCAGGTCATTTAACCAACCCCTTCATCTCATAAGTGAAAATCTGGACCGCAGGTTATATAGCAATTCTGTGACAGAAGTGGAACCAGAATGTAGAATTCTTTATTCCTAGAGAGTATTTTTATTTTTGTTTCTATTTGTTTGAACATGTCATCTATGATGAAAACTCAATTTAGGAGAACAAAAAATTGGTGGTGGGAGATATAACTTTGAAAGTGTATTTCTGTGTCCCCTTTTATTTAATGTTAGTAGAAGTATGTAGTAAGTGCTCCAAAAAAAAAAAACCCATTGCCGTCAAGTCGATTCAGACTGATAGCAACCCTATAGGACAGAGTAGAACTGCCCCGTAGGGTTTCCAAGGAGCACCTGGTGGATTCGAACTGCTAACCTTTTGGTTAGCAACCATAGCTCTTAACCACTGTGTCACTAGAATTTCCCAGTAAGTGCTCAGTAGTGACTTAATGAGTGAATCTGGGTTTCTGAGCTTGCTTCTCTCTGCGAGAATATCACTTGGGCTTACCTGGTAGCCCATTTAGCTGCAGAAGATATGGCAGATGGCAGAAGAGTCAACTAGCCTGAACTTGGCAATGATTGAGGTGCAAAATGGAAACCAGGGCATTATTTTACAAGCATTTTAACTGTGTTACACCTCCTCCCCACCGTTATGAACTCTCTGAACTATTAATTAACTTTTCCCTCTGGTTTTTAAACTTTCTTCACTTGCTATTTTCCTTCAGAAAGCAGAAAGGAAATGGGAAGAGAAAAGGCAAAATCTGGACCACTACAATGGAAAAGAGTTTGAGAAACTCCTGGAAGAAGCTCAGGCCAATATCATGAAGTCAATCCCAAACCTGGAGATGCCACTGTCCTCAAGCTCATTGCCAAAAGGAGAAGCTCCAGGGGACAAGTTAGAACTTTCAGGTAAGATGTGGTCCCATGGCAGGTATCTACTGCGCTGTTTAGGGTAACCATCCTCGGATCAGCATTTTGCCACCAGCTTAAACAAATGCTGGTCACCGTGACCACTTTCTCTTCTTAAGAATCACATAAAATTGAAAAGTTGGAAGAGCAAATCCCCAGGTGTTCCCCTAGAGCCTTGCTACTACTCTTTATCTATAACAATAGTAGGGAAACTGTGTTCTTTTTTGGATACTAGGACAATGCCCAATAAATTTAAATTCCCAGCTTCTGCATTTCCTGTGAGTTTTCTGACACTTCAGAGCGCCAGCTGGGAGAAGATGAGCCCTGCATTTAAAACAAGAGCTTTTTAGATGCTGCAGAAATAAAACTCCAGCTTTTATGAGCTGTTGGGGGATATTAGATCATAAGGCAAAATTGCATTTTTTACATCAAAATTATTAGAATATATACTTAACCAACTAGACTATGAAAGTTAAGCATCAATATCAATAATAATATAAAATAACCTTTCAAAAACTCAACCTACTAAATCTCCAGCCGTTTACAAGCCATGTGGCTTTTTCTGATCTCAAAATTATGCAAAAAGACATTATTTTACTTGCATCCCAGTGTCTCTGCCGAGTCACAGTCAATGATGCCTAGTTTGGCAACTTAATTTTAAAAGGAATTGCCATTTTTAACTTGGATATCTCAAAGAACATTAAAGTGGATGCATTGTATAACCACTGTAATACTCTCGCCCCAGTTTTGCAATCCACAAAATCTCTCTAAAGCTCCATTCACTAAAACTCCCCTCTCATCTGCCTTAAGAGTCTTTTCTCACTTCCTTGCCCCCACCTGCCAGCTGTGATGGCCTCTCTAGGACCCGTGGAGGACCAGGTAAGAACTGCCCATGAAGGGAAGGGCCCCAGGAAGGAAAACTCTGATCTCCCTAAGTTCCCATGGAGAATTTCCAATTGATAAAATTATCTACCTCATTACATTTATAATTTGCTCAATTTTATTCTTGATGTTTTATGTAGTTCTCATAGCTGCCACGTCATGTGATTGTGCAACAAAAATATAATGTTACATTTGGTTAGCTTACCTCATTTGGGCTTTATATTCTTTCATATTAAAAACATATATATATATTTTTATAATTATCTCCCTAAGTTTGTTTTACTCATTTAAAATGCCCTTTTAAAAAAAAAAAACAAAAACAAAAACACATGGCCTGTTTTTCTTTTTTTTTTTCCTGGAAAGATTTTACTAATATATCAGTTGCTGTCGAGTCAACTCCGACTCATGGTGACCCTGTGTGTGTCAGAGTAAAACCGTACTCCATAGGGTTTTCAATGGCTGATTTTTTGGAAGTAGACTTCCTGGCCTTCCTTCTGAGGTACCTCTTGGTGGACTCAAACCTCCAACCTTTCAGTTAGTAGCCGAACTTGTTAACTGTTTGCATCACCCAGGGACTCCCCAGTAATATACCCAAAAAAACCCACTGCTGTCTGGTCGATCGTGACTCAGAGTGACCCCATAGGGTTTCCAAGGCTGTAAATCTCTACAGAAGCAGACTGCCACATCTTTTGCCCGTGGAGCTGCTGGTGGTTTTGAACCGTTGACGTTTTAGTTAGCAGTCAGTTGCTTTAACCACTGCTCCACCAGGGCTACTCTAATATACAGTAATATACAGGCCACCATAAATGTGTAAAGATGTCTATTATTACCTATAAATGTCGGTTTCTATCGTTTTAATTTATTTGTCCTGGATGTTACTGTTTTCATGTATTTTTGTTTACTAATGAGGTAAAATTCTAACTTTGGAGTTTTAAAAACCATCTATATTTTCTCTTGTGTGAACTGTCTGACTGTTAGATAATGGGGACGGACGGACAGTTAAAATAGCTGAGAATTGATGGGAAATTTGGGGAATTTCCTCCACAGCTGGGGCTCTGGCGGCACAGTGGTTAAGAGCTTGGCTGCCAACCAAAACATTGGCAGTTCACATCCACCAGCTGCTCCTTGGAAACTGTATGGGGCAGTTCTGCTGTGTCCTATAGTGTCGCTGTAGTCAGAATCGACTGCACAGCAATGGGCACCACTTCAGTCACACACTGAAGGAGAGAACTGTGCACACTCCAGGGCTGGTGGGCCTGGACAAATCCCTAGAAGGCATAGGAAGCTGAGGCAGCCACCAGGAGGTGGGACTGTGGCTGATGAACAAGCTGTGTGGTCTGATGCGCTGTAGCCCTAAAACCCACCTTCCTCCTGCATGAGGCAGGAATCGTTCTCCTACAGATAATCACTGGCACCTATCCCTGATGATTTACCGAAGTCTTTATTACAGTTTTAATTAGAAACTCCTCAAAAATCTCCTCTAAACAGCTCTGTCCTGATTTCTCAGAAAAGGGAGGCAGCCATGTAGCTAGAGAGAGTCCTGACAAAGCTCTTAGAAACTCCAGACCCTGAACTTCTGGTTCTACTGCTTTTATGAGCTCTTGGACAGAATCTCAGTGAGGAATGTTGACAAAGGGCAGGAGTGAGGCTGCTTGTTTGAGTTTCCTACGTGGAAACCCCGGTGGCATAGTGGTTAAGAGCTATGGCTACTAACCAAAAGGTCAGTGGTTCAAAACCACCAGGCCCTCCTTGGAAACCCTATGGGGCAGTTCTACTCTGTCCTGGAAGTTCACTATGAGTCAGAATCCACCCAATGGAAATGTGTTTTCTTTTGGTGGGGGAGCTAAGCAGGTACCTCCATCTCCTAACCTTTGATGCCAACACAAATTTACAATTCTATAATTTCTGCATTCATTGCCTCCTTTTTGTTAGTAAAGAACCTTTTCCAACCATATAAACATGACCAAAAAGTCTACTTTCTCTCTGGCTCTGTTCTTTATTCCCATTTGTGTCCCATTTTCTCTCTATTTTATTCTGACATTCCCCCTGCACAAATCCCTCTTGCAAAAGCTGTTTTTCAGACCAGGGAATAGAGGTTTTAGAGGCCACGCAGAAGGCTCTGGATTTGCCTTTAGGCTCTCTGGTCTGTCATCTCTCTGAGTAATACTCAGTTTTCTTGCATAACAAGAAATTCATTTAATAATAATAGCTATTACTTGCATAGCATTTACAGTATGCCAAGCACTGTTCTAAATGCTGTATGTATACTAAGTCATTTAATCCTCACAATAATCCAGCAGAGGAGATGCTATTATAATCCCCATTTTATGGATGAGAAAACTGAGGCACAGAGAGGTTAAGTAACTTGATAGGGTCTTTCTGGGATTTACATCCAGACCGTCAGACTCCAGAGTTGATACTCTTAATCCCTGCACTATGGAGAGAAGAGATTTTTTTTTTTTAATTGTACTTTAAGTGGAAGTTTACAATTCAAGTTAGTCTCTCATACAAAAATTTATACATACATTGTTATATGACCCTAATTGCTCTCCCTGTACTGTGACAGCACACTCCTCCTTTCCACCCCTGATTTCCCATGTCCATTCAACCAGCTCCTGACCCTCTCTGCCTTCTCATCTCACCTCTGGACAGGAGCTGCCCATTTAGTCTCATGTATCTACTTGAGCTAAGAAGCACGCTCTTCACGAGTTATCATTTTATGTCCCAC